TCCAGACGGGCAGACAGCCAGGTCCACCTCTGCAGCCCCCCAGGCTGAGCCCCACTCTGGGGCTTCAGGCTCTGACAGACCCTGGAGGGTTTTATCCCAGCAGGTGTTTGGGAATGGCAGGAGGTGCGTGGGGGGATTGGCAGGTATCCCTGAGGATAAAATCAGTCGTGACTGCCCTGCTCTGCCCTGCGCACCAGCCTGTGCTACCGGTGGTGAGGAGCTCAGCAACAGGTTGTGGGGGGTCCCCTCGCCCCCCTGGCCCTTCCTCCTTGAGCAGTGGCAGCAGATTAGCCCGGAGCCCCTCTGTGCAGACAAAAGCTGCCACAAAGGGCATTAGGCTGCAGGACTGGATTACCGTGTGGCCACCTGGCATCCCCACTCGGTACGTTTATCTCGCTCCGTCCGGTTTGCACGTTGGAGAATTTTACACTTAAAAAAAAAAAAAAAAAGATAAATACATAATTCCCCCCCAGTGCCTCTCCAAGCAGCCTGGCAGAGTTTGTTTTAGCATCCCTTCTTATTGCAGGCTTCAGAGCTGCGTGGGGCTGGGGATTAGGGCTGTATGAATAAAGAGAGCCTTTATTACATTAGTCTGAGTGGTTAATAGGTAAAGTAGGCCAATCCATCTTTAGACTAAGCCTATCACTTTGCCTACGAAGGGTGCAGGCTTCACCGAGGAAATATTCATTAAAGGAAAAGCTTTTCCTCTGTCCCTCTTGACATGTTAATAGCTCAGGGTTAGGGGCTCTGCTCCCTGCCTGTGCAAAATTCATCGCTGGGCTCTGGCAGCAACTCCCGGCACTTCACAGGACCCTGGCAGCTCCACTGCAGCCCCCAAGAGTGGTGCTGAGCCCTGCCTGGGCACCCACCTGGGCTCTGTGGGAAAAAGGGATGCTGGGAGTCTTCTGGTGCTCCTCATCCCTGCTCTTCCTCTCCCCATCCCAGCTTTTCCTCTCCTCATCCCAGCTTTTCCTCTCCCCATCCCTGCTTTTCCTCTCCTCATCCCCACTGTTCCTCTCCCATGCTTAGAAAGTAGGTGCCTTGTCCCTTCCCAAGCAGGGATGTAGGGTGAAGTGCTTCAGTGCTGGGACTCTCTGCTGTGGGGTTTTCTCAAGGCCAGAAGTATTTGTGGGACTGAAAGGATTAGACAGTTCGTAGTCACTATGAAATGGGGTGATTTGGATGCAGATGCTGGCTCCAGAGGTCTTTGAAGTCCTGGTTGCCAGAGGCAGGAGGGTAACAAGGCAGGAGGGACTCCTTGCTACCCTTATTTCCCGCTCCAGTATGCACTGCAGCCCTCTGTGGTGTCTCCATCCTGCCCTGTCCCAACTGGTGCAGCAGCTTTTGCTAAGGGCTCAGCTGAGCTCCCCTTTTCCCACAGCCTGATTCCCTTTTTCATCTCCCTTTCCTCTGCCATATGAACAGAGGTGGTAGCTGCACCTTGGTCATTCTTCTGCTGCTCCAAACAGCACTGGCAGAAGCTGCCAGTCTCTAATACACCTGTGGAGCTTCCGTGGACCTAGAGGACTCCACAGCTGTCATGAGCTGCCCCAGGGCTGAGCTGAAAGTGGGCTTCTGCTGTTACTTTTGCCCAAAGAGGTTTCATTCTGCCAGGACACGGTAGCTAGAGCTCTTCTGTCCATTACAGCTCCTCTTTCCTCCTGTAGCAGCTGTCATTTAGCACAGCCTTGGCTGTCCTGGAGCCCCAGCAGCAGATGAGTTCAGAGCTGGAATCTGGTCCTGCTGCCACCAACACGTACATGTTGCATTGAGCTGCAGTGGGCCAAGCTGCCCTTCTCCAGTTGTGCTCTGAATGGGAATAAATGCTTCTTGGTGACTTTTCAACCTGTGTCAGTTCAGACCAGCCAACTTACCAGTTCCTCCTGTCCCTGAGGCTCTGTTGTCTCTGGCTGCCAGCATGACAATTGATGCCTCAGTGGAAGATTATGAAAATCATGGGAAAGCTCCTCACAGTGGACAGACCCATGCAGTAAAACCTTGCTTTCCTCAAAGTGATGCTGTCAGAGGTTCAAACCACAGCCATGGACCACAGTATTTGGCTTCATTTGCTGCTGGCTGGCTTTTATGCAGCCACTTTTTATGCAAGGCAGCACCTGAGACAGTCTCAAGGATTGTAGTTTTGGGCTGTTCCTGGGACCCATCTGAGTACAACGAAGGAGGAGAGTGCTGGAGCTAGGGCTGAAGGCTGGTTTGGATGGGTTCAGTTCTTCTTGGGTTGAAGGCTCTATTTATATCTCTGCTAATCTTAGTCTGCTCTGACCAAGCCAGGCAGCAGTAATAGTGTCAGTGATGTGTGTTTTCTTGCTTCTCTTGCTGTCATGGGTCACCAGTGAGATGTTCTGCAAATGCCAAGGCTTCAGGTCTTCTCAAAAACCCCCACAATTTTAGGAGGTCTAGACCTGCACAGAACTGACTGCTCTCATCTCTGTTGGGACAAAGAGACATTAAAAAAAAAGAGTGTAGGTTCAGCTGCTGACTGGTCTGCAAAGGAGCTGACACTGAGCTGGTGAAAACCTCTCGGAGGAAGAGTTGCTCCTTGATGTCTTCCACTTCTGTGGTGCACTCCTGTGTCTGTTGGAGTGCTAATTAAGAGCCTGTGTTTCCCAATCAGATCAACTGACTCAGCACTTCCACCTCCGGCAATTTCCTTCAGTCTCATGGTCCAGCCCTACCCAGTGCCTTCCTTGTGCAAGGAGGAAAAAAATAAGCCTATTGTCATTCCCAGGAGAATAAGATAAGTACTGACTGGAGTAGTCTTGGAGGAGAAGTCAGTCTTGAGGTGCAGGGCCCCATACAGCAATCTGATGGACCTGACCTGAAGCCAAAGGGCTCAAGTGCAGCACAGTCATTGTGAGCACCTCTTGGGAAGCAGTCTTCTCTCTAGGCAGGTCCCAGGCCATTAAGGACTTTGTGGGTTGAAACCAAGCTCTTAAATCAAGCTGGGAAGTGGTTGGTGGCCAGCACAGGATGTAGAACTTGGATTTAACGTGGCCATAAAAAGAGACACTATTTAATGAGTCGACTGTCAAAATCCGTATCAGCCCACGATGGATTTAAGAGCTGCTCTCTGAGCATTATTGAGTGGCTCTGTTCTGCCTCGGCGTTATGGGTTTGCAGAGTTGGCTAACAAGGCCAAGAATTAGTCAGAGTTTTATTTTGATTTCTAGTTTTTGGCACACGCTGGCTCCGGGCTTCCAGCAGCTCTCCCATCCCAGGTGTCTGGTAAACCAGCATGATTCTTGTCTGCGTGCAAAACTCCACTTGCCTGGCCTTGAAATTTTGGCTCTAGGGGTTGACCACCCTTGGGCATGGCTGGGGTTTTGCACAAGCTGATATCTTCTTCCTCCACATTCCAGCTTGTCCATCACCACCTCTCCCAGTGATCTGGTATGGGGACCATCTCCCCCCATGGCTCTGTGGAGAAGGGGCTTTCTGGGCAGCCCCCCAGCACCCCTCACCTGCAGGGCAGAGGTGCAGCCCTTGGGTGCCCCTTGCCACTAACCACATAGCAGCAAGTTAATGCCAGGAGCTGGTGAAGAAAAATGCCAGGTACAACATGAGCTAAATAGCAGTTGCATCAAGCAGCTACTGACCAACTTCTATATGCACATGGTGATTTTTGATTCAATCAGAACTCTCCTTATTGCTCTTTCCTATTATTTGGCTTCACATCTGGGTCAATTTTTTTCCCTTGGCTTCCTCATTAGGGCAACCACTGACTTGGGCACAAATTCTCAGTGGTTTTTTAATTGCAGGAGCTCATAGTAGTCTTTGCTGTAGAAACATAAAAGCAATAAGGGAGGAGATGGCCATGGGGGAACAAATGGCCTCTGTGTGCAGAGACGTGTGTCTGAGGGAAATGCTGGTTGAGGCTTGAAGATCACACACTGGCTGGTTATTTTTCTGTGCTGGGTGGAGGCTTTGAAAACTTAATCAAGTTTTATAGCTTTAATTTTGTGGCAGACTCCCCTCTTGCCATGTTTTTTAACTGTCTTGCAACTCAGAGCAAATGAGTCCCATTGGGTTGTAAAAGGAAAGAACTGGCAAATGGTCTGAAGTATTTAGCCTTGCCTAGTGAATTATAGGAAAAAATTACTCCTCCTGCTTCCTGCTGCTTCCATCATTTCTGCAAACTCTCTAGTTTTCCCCCACTTGGTTAATTAGAAGTATCCAGGGAGTAGGATGGAATTGCTGAGGGATTTAGGTTTCAAGGGTGTTTTGTGAGGGTAGGTCCTACCTGTGAGCTGAGGTTGCCTTCTCCATGGTTGTGTCCTGTGTCCTCACCTCTGTGGCAGTGGAGGGGAAGGGTTGTCCTTGCTGGCTGTTTGTCTGGGACGTGCTGAAGGTGCCACCAGCAGCTCTTGATGGTCCTTTCAGTTTGTATTGGGAAAGACGTCTGCACCACGATAGGGAATAGTAAAAGAGTGGGTGAAGCTGGGTGCAACAGGACCATGGAAGTTGGGTGAGGTCCTTGCACCCTCTTGCCTGAATTGAGAACAGTGTCGTGTTTGGGATGCCCAGGGAAGCCAAGGTGGCCGTGCTCAGGTGAGCTCCTGCTTTTCTGATGTACCATTCTTCTTGTTCCTCTGGGGAAAACAAGCCCCGGGCTGGGGCTGAGGTTTCTCTGCCATTGACCTGAGCCAGGAAAGGCACCTGGTGCAGCTCAGGACTCATCCTGGCTGGTCAGGAGCTGACGTGGTACCTGGAGCCACCCTCCAGGTGCCGAATGCAGCCCAGCTAATCCACCCATAGATAACTGGGAGATTACTCATTTGGAGTTTGATAGTGGCCTTTAGTAATAATCCCCCCCTAATCCCTAAATCAATGGGAAATGGGTTTATCTGTGCAAGCTGAATGACCCGTGTAGGCATTTTAGGGAGAAAAATTCTTGTGTATCTGTGACCGAAAACGTACATTGATGTGTATGTGTATTGTGGTTTGTTACCTGCTGCTCTGACCTGTGTGTGTTTTGCTGGCAGGGACCTGATGCCCAGGACCCTGGAGGGGCAGATCACCATGGAGAAGACCCCCAGCTACTTTGTCACCAAGGAGGCCCCCGCCCGCATCTCCTCCATGTGCAGGGGCACGAAGCTGATCGTGGTGGTGCGGGACCCCGTCACCAGAGCCATCTCCGACTACACCCAGACGCTCTCCAAGAAGCCCGACATCCCCACCTTTGAGAGCCTGACCTTCAAAAACAGGACTACGGGCCTGATCGACACCTCCTGGAGCGCCATCCAGATCGGCATCTATGCCAAGCACCTGGAGAACTGGCTCCTCTACTTCCCCATCGGGCAGCTCCTCTTTGTCAGCGGGGAGAGGCTGATCAGCGACCCCGCGGGGGAGCTGGGCAGGGTCCAGGACTTCCTGGGCCTCAAGAGAATCATCACCGACAAACACTTCTACTTCAACAAGACCAAGGGCTTCCCGTGCCTGAAGAAGGCAGAAGGCAGCAGCAAACCCCACTGCCTGGGGAAGACAAAAGGCAGGACCCACCCTGACATAGACCAGGAGGTGGTGCAGAGGCTGGGGGACTTTTACTGGCCCTTCAAAATGAAGTTCTACCAGATGACAGGCCAGGACTTTGGCTGGGACTGAGGCTGGCGTGGGAAAGTCCCCTGTAATTACCTGCCCAGCATGGTTTGCGTATCTAAAGAGATATATATGTATGTAAAATGTACAGAAATCTATTTTATAATAATTTATTTTTAATTCCTAAGCAATTAATTCACTAAGCTGCCTAACCGCACTGGCTAGAACGGTAGCCCGTAACCTGTTTAACATTCCACAGTGTTTAATTCTAATATGGCCCTCCTTTTTATTTTTTTTTTCACCCCCCCTCCTGTTTTCTCCTCCTTATGGTTTGGTTTGTAACAAGACGGTGCTTCCATTTTTTCCTAAACAGAATTTGTATTTTAAAAAGAAACCACAGCAAACGAGGGTGGCAGGGGAGGGGAGGGAGGGAAAGCACAGATTTATTTTTGTTACGGGTATCTGGCCTTTATAAACACTTGCTTTCCCTGTTCCCGTGTCCCAGTCTCTGCTCCACTGTTGTGCTCCCTCCTCCCACAGCTTTCCAGTTCAGTCCTGGGGCCACAGGTGGGGGGGTTTCTCTGGGGAGGGAGACTGGGCATCTCCCTGAAGCTTAGGGCACCCTGAGCCATCCAGCTCCACAGCCCAGGACTCTGCCAGGAGGGCAACGTGCTCCTCTTCCAAGCAGAGAAGCCACAGAGCCTGTAGCAAGGGCAGAGCTGTCTCCTCAGTGGACTTTTCTTCCTTGCCTTTGGTCCAGGAGGCTCCTTCCCACACCCCCTTAAACCTTCACTGCTGGACAAGGTACGAGCACACGTCCCCGGGTGTGACAGCCCAGGGCAGCTGTGAGCAGTGTGGCTCCAGGAGTGCCCATGCACACACCCCCACTGGGGAGCAGCTCCCACCCACCAAAGATCCTGGGAGAGGCACATGGAAAACCCTGGTCTCTGCTTGGAGCTCTTCCCAGCAGGAGGCTGCCCCGGGACAGGCGCAGGCAGCGCTACCTGTGGCTCCCAGTGCCTGGGGCTGGGGAGCATCCAACTTGGTCCTCTTGACTCCTGGTGCTTTTTTGGTCCAACACCTTATCTGTGGCCTCTCCCAAAGAGCAGCATTTGCCTGGAGCCTGGAAGAAGCACTGCCTTGCCAGCCAGGATGAATCTGGAGGAAGCCAGGGGCTGTGCTGGGCTGGGGTGTTGCCCTGATGCCACGGACAAGTGCAGGGGTGGCCACCAGGCAGGATAGGAGGCCCCAAGCTCTTACCCCTCAGCCCAGGTACAGCAACCTAGAGATCCTTCATTTCTGGTGGAAACAAATGCTCCTTGGCAGGGTGCTCCTGAGAGCTCTGGCCATGTTTTGTGTGCTCAGGATGATAAATCCTGTGTGTGTCCGATGCCTTAGTGTCACAGCCAGAGGTTCTGCTGACTCACCTGGAACATTCCCAGAGCAAGGGCACAGCAGAAGTGATTTGCTCCTTGATTTTTTAACAGGAAGCAGAGCTGTGTTTTCTTTGGACAACAAACCTCCCCGAGACCTCACCTGCAAGCCCTGTGATGCCAAGCTGGGGGCACTTCCCAAATGTTTTTGTCACATTCACAGCCTCCTTGCTCTTGCCCCTTACAGCTCTCTGGTGTGGCTGTTTGGTGGTGAAAAGTCTCTTGGAAGTCTGGACTTCTCTCCCTGGATATTGATCTGCTCCTGCTCAAGTGGATAGAGCAAAGAGCAGTCCCACCTCCAGGTCTGCTGGGGGTGTCTGCCCTTCAGTGCTTTGTGTGAACCTCAGGGCCCTGTGCTGGGCTTGGTGGTGTCACATCTCCAAAGGTATTTAGGGACTCACAGTCCCCTCATTGCTGGTGGGTTGTGTGTGTGGGTTCACACATGGGGTGTCCTCTAGGAAAAGGAGATGCCAGGCTAAGGTGCTAACCTGCTGTGAGCAGGATGCAGGTCTGTCTTTGGGGTTTGTCTGAGCACATCTGCCTACAAAAAGGGCAAGTAAATCCTTTTTGTGCCCTGAGCCATTTCTAGCAAGGAAGCCACGCTTTGGAGCTGGGCAGTCCTGCTTCCAGGGGTCCCTGCTCTGAGTGTGGGACCTGCTGGGCTGCCGGGTTGACAGAGCTCACATGTGACCCTTTCCTGCAAACCTTGAGTGGTGGTTGGATCTATGCACACCTGGGGCCTTTGGCTTTTGCTCCACCAGGTGCCCAGCTCTGTCCCCTGCTGCCAGGAAGGTGCTGAGTGCTCAAGTGTCTCTGCCTTATCACAAAGCCCTGACAGGGAAGGGGCTGCCAGGATGAGGGGTTGGGGGGAGAAGAAAATACTTCCCGGTGGAAAAGAGTGACTTTTGCTTCTCAAACCTCAGTCTTCCTACTAACCAGCTTATGCAATGTGTGGAAAGAAGCTTGTACTCTCCACTTGGCCTCTGGGCAGCTCCAGCTTCCCTGGGGGGTTTAGCTCTTCAGCTGCCTGGCCAGAGCCTGCAGGATCTGCTGCTTTGGCCTGGCTGCCTTTCCCTGTGGATCCCTCAGGAGCACCCATGCTGTGCCTGCTTCCCAGTGCTGGAAGATTCTGCATCCCTACGTCTTCCTTCTTGCTTTTTTGGAAACAACTTTTTAATAAACCACCTTCCTCAGCTCCACAGCAGAGCTTGGCCTTCCTCTGTGTGATCAAGCCCTGCTGCAAACTGCTCTCAGGAAGCAGCAGTGAAGAGCAGGAACACCAAGAGTGGTTAATAACTCTTCTGACCTTAAGCAAATTGTTAGTCCTGGCTCAACATGAAGGCTGCATTTCATCTGAAGGCCTTACCTAACAGATGAGACAGAGAAGGTGAATTCCCCTGAATCTGGTTGCTAAGACTGGGATCAGTGCTATCATCATCAGTTTATAAAAAAATACACCTTTTCCTTGAAGTTGAGCTTGGAGGTGTGATTAGGTTTTGGTTTGGTTGGTTTTTTTCTCCTTTTTTTCCCTTTTTTTTACATTGTAGCATTAATTTATGGCTGAGTTTCATTCAGTCCTGTATTCAGAGGTGCAGCACAGGTCTTAGGGATGTGTTGTCTGTAACATGGTTCTATAGAGTAGCCCATTTGTGAAAAAAAAAGAACAAAATGGAAAGAAAAAAACAAAGGAACCACACATAACAGAGAACGTGGGGGGAAAAAAAGTAAATGGGGTATTTTGTGGTATGTGCAACACAAATTAATTTTACACAAAGATGTTTCTAGGAAAATGAAATCCTGATAATTCATACGATTTGTATGACCAAATAAAAGCTTTATTTTACCAAGTGATGGACACAGTTGTATTCATTCCAGGCTGTGGAGATGGAGCTGGTCTGCCCACCAGGGCTTGGTGCTGCTGCCCCCAGTACTTGCACATCCAGCCCAGTAATGTCTGTAACTGGTGGCCCCAGGGCAAAGCCCAGAAGCATGAGCTGGAGCAGGATTTTATCCCACCAAGGAACATCTACCCAGCCTGGGGTGGTTGTGGCTGGGGAGGGGCTGGCTGGTCTGGCCCATCAGATGCTGCTTCTTTGCCATTTCAGGGAAGGAAACCTGAGGGATTTCCCTCAGCCCTGCTGAGGATGGATGGTGAAACCAACCTCCTGCCCCAGGGATGCTGGAGGAGAAACCCAGGCCTCTCTAGCCGGGGGTGGGGAAACTTCCCACTGCCAAGTTTCTTTTCCAAGCTGTTGCACTTCCAGCAGTGCTGCTGAGCCAAACCTCTGGGGCAAGCAGTTGCTATTGTTCCCTACACACTCAGCACTTTCAGATATAAAAAGTCATTATCATTAAACTCAGAGGAGTCCCAGGCCAGCGCTGTACAAAGCAGTGCCTGAAGAGCACTACAGATTGATGTCATGTAGCAATTGCCACTTAACTAAACTGAATTAATTTCATTTTTCTTAGCAAGTCTTGAATCCGGTGCAGGGTAATTGATGGGAGCCTCTCACACTGCCCATTTTTCAGAGACCTCCTAGAAGAGGAGACAAAAGCAAGCACAGGACTTAATACAGTGATTGGGAAGGAGTTCAACCTAGAAACCTCCAGCTTGTCAGGACTGTCATTAGCTGCTCCCAAACTCTGGCATTGCTTAAGCTCCATGGATGCCTCATTTTAAAAATATATCTACAGAGATTTTACTTTTGAAATTCCCACCTACCTGCTGAGGGGCACAGCTGGGTGTGCTGAGCACCTTCTTACCTCCTTCTCACCTCACTTTGCCTTCAAAACCAGCTGCTCCTCTGCTGCTGCCCCAGTAGCTCCTGGTCCAGCAGGCAGGCTGGGTCCCAGCTCAGCCTGGCTCTGCAGCAGCTCAGGCAGTGCTGCCCTCCTTGCATTTTGTGAGAACTGCTTCGTTCTGGGCTGGGAAGACCATGGATCCTTCATGGAGAGACTGGTGCTGTGGAGGAAAGGGAAGGTAAGTCCCTGTGAAATGGGGTTCTGCACTGTCTTCTGCATCTCCCTGTGGCTGTTCCCAGTTGCACCCCAGCTAGCACTTGGAAGGTAAGAGTAAGAATTTATGGAATCATATCCTAAATGCAAATCAGTGGAGAAAATGGCCTGAAGGGTCTTCATGTAGCTTAGAGGAGCTTCTGAAGGAGGAAGCTCCTGAAGGAGAATGGTTTGATGAAGAGGTAGGTGGGGCAGAGGCAGCTGAGGAAGGGCTGCTGGGAACTGAGGTGGATTTACTTTGGGCTGGTGGAAGGAAGGTGAGGGGCTACTGCTTTCATCTACAAATCAAGCAGGTCTCCAGTCCATGTTGGGGGCTGGTGCTGGGGTAACATCCCAGAGAGGTGTCACCTGGCACAGAAGCAGGTATCAGGAATGAGAAAGCACAGAGCAGGGAGGAATTGATCTGAAAGGGTTGCTGTTGTGAAGTCCTCCTGGTGGTATCTGGAGACCATGGAGACCTCTTTGAGGAGGGTGAAGGAAGGTTAAAACAAGGAAGGAAAGAGCTTGGGTAGTTTTCAAGCACTAGGAAATACCTGGGCAGGATCTGTGAAGGCAAAAAAGTGAAGCTTGGAGTTGAGTCCATCCTAACAAAGCCTTTAAAAAGCTGGTGGGTTTTGTAGGGAGCTCCATGTTTACTGTGTTTTGGAGCAAAATGGTGCATTTAAAACAACCTTGATGCTTGAGAAAGGTTTCACTGGGCCTGGTTTCAGGAAGAAGTCACTATTGTAGGGATGCTTTTTCCTTGGGCCCCATGTGCAGGTGGCTGAGAGCTTGAGCTGCTGCAGCCCAGCTCCCTGGCCACCAGGGCACTGCAAGAGGAATTCCTTTCCTTCTCTTCCAGAGGTTTGTTATTCTTCTTCCTTCAAAAAAAAAACAAACAACACCTTACTTAGCCACCAGATCTGCCAGTTAATGGCTTCATTTAAAGCTAAACTTGATTG